AATATATTTAAAGCTTTGCTAAGCTTCACAATATCTATCAAATCTCTTTATTTTTTCACTCCTCAATCGTATTTACGCTCACTCACTTTTTTATTCACGCTCACTACCTCACACCAACTAAAGGCTAAGCACACATATATATAGGTTGTATAACCGACTTATTTGAGGATCTCTGGATGCTTCTCAACTTCTCTCCTTAATTCTTGCTTGACATGTTGCCGTGTGAATTCAAACAATTAAAGAAAAATCTTTGCCGATATATGCATGTGTGGTTTAGTGTACTGCCAAGCATTTCCACTTTGTTTTGTTTACTTGTGAATCTATCTTCATTTGCCACGTTGAACTTCTACACAATTCCAAGAGTTTGACTTCTAACAAAAATCCTATGACCTCCACCCTGAACGAGAACTCAAAACCGAGCTTAGGAATGACCCTATCGGTTTTGATGCCGCTAATCCTGGGTTCGAAAAGCACCACCATTTTCGGTTTGTATTCCTACATATATTCTCTGAATATTCGTGGAAATTTACATCCACGTTAGAAGCGAAAAATCCATGAACAAAAGATAGGGAAAGGTAGCCATTATTGGTTTTCACCAGACGTGTTTTCTGGACCTATTACTCCATCCAGTTGAAAATGAAGTCGATGAATGTCCATTATAACTTTATCCATAGTTTCCCGAACCAAAGGTCAACTTGAACGATTTTTCTTTACTTAGATCGGATGACATAGAGACAATCCTTCCCTTGGCCTCCAAATTACGATGAGCGTTATGGGGCTTTAGGGAGGACACTTCAGGCTGAGAAGAGCTCGACTAGAAAGTGACCACCTTGTTTGAAGTATGATCGAGAGATGTCTGACCCATCTTCCGTTCAATACCTAGGAATTATCAAACATGGGATTGATATTAGTCATGTAATATAAACATTAAGGCTTACCAGATTGGATGTTTTGGGTATCTCAAGTTCTACTCAATCAATATTGGTGGGCATCGAGATCTCCCTGCTCTGGTTGCCTACAATGATGACATCTAGAGTTGGGTCATTTACATTTTGAACGTGCATGAGATTATGCACGGAGTTTGTAGCTGTCTCGTAAGCATTGTTGGGCCCCACCTCATGGTTTGATTTGTTCAGATGCCTAGCTTGGTTTCCAGTTTTAGAAGCATGAAATTACGGTATTTAATACAGATGGGGAGTCGTGATTCTGCCTCGATATTTGGTCATTTGTCTATCGGTGGGCATGGTAGGATTTTTCCAGCTCAGAGAGTATCCCTTTATTTTTAGCAGGAATCATTGGAGTCACATCTTCACTTTTCTCTTCCAGATTCTTCTCCGTGATGTGCTTTGACTTGTTGTAGCAGTAGGACCCTCATTTAACACCTCAAATCTTGACCCAGAATTAGCAGATCCTTTGATAATTTTTGGTTTTTTCTCGTCCCCGTAGGCGACCGCCGACATCGCTTTTCAACGATCATCCAAAGGCCATACTGTTCTACTTCCATCAACATATGTGTGGTAGGTTTTCATATTCAGCGATTTGTACTTTGTTTTTGACGACCACATGAGACACTAAGGGTTGTTTCAGATTCACATAAACAACTAAATGCGTAAAACGTCTTCTGTTGTTGGTATTTTTACGGAAGTCGAGCTTCACCACCTTCCCAACAAACTCTCTGATTCCCATCAAGATTGGTTTTTTATATATATGTACTCAGGAAGACCTGAAAATGGGATCCATGCAATAACTATAGTGGGGTACGGTTGTGAAGTACTAAAGTTCATAGTCCATGTTTGCACCGTCAGATATTGTTCGTAAATAATCCAAAATCCTTCGGCTAAAACCTTCCCATAGTTGGAATTTAGCCAAGAAGTAGCCATTTTCGAGGTCTATGAGCGTAAATGGTCTAGCAGGTCACAAAGCGCAAACGCTTTGTTTGTGGCGTTAAGTCCAATATTTCGCCTTAAAAGTTTTTGGATTACAATTTTCGCCATACTTACTTCCATCAGCCTGTACACCTGATCTGCAAACTGAATAGATGGGAGGCCATACTGAGTCCCAATTACGAGATCATCATCAGTGATAGCAATGTACACTTCATCTTCCTTATCGGTAGTATCGTTTTAAGTGGACTCATTTGGTTTGTCGGCCAGTATTGAAGCATAAGTTTTCGAATCAAACTCTTGAGTCTCGATCATCATATCTAAATCATGGTTGGTTTCATTCTCTATCGTCTTAAAACGAACTTTCTTTATCATGAAATCGTTATTCACTGACATGATATTTTTACATATACTTAATTATCGACATGTCATATTATCACTTTTGATGATATATCACGTACGAAATCATCTTAGGTGAATGTCTTATGTCATGTCATCATCTTTGATGACAAGACATGTCATATTATAATATTGGATAACATAGCATGTGACATATCAAAAATTTATTACATATAAAAATATAACGTTAATAATATATATATCAATTGTTACCTAAGTAACGATTTTCATTCAATAAAATCATTTATTTAGAAAAACAACAAACAAAAATGCTTTAAAAGATGAAATGAAAACAATTATTTAGATAAAAATAAGGATTAATTTTGACATTACCAAAATAAAAATCACCGTGGGAAATCTTATACATGTACCAATCATAACACACCCCTCAAATCAATCTCATTTATTTTAGTTTAATATCACAATAAGTGTTTAAATTATATTGATTTTTAGAATAAGTGTCTAAATTATTTTTTAACTCATCTAGGTGTATAACGTTATAAACATTAAATAATCGAGTCATAAACGACGTTAATTTTTCTGTTAATTAACATGTATCATAATATGATGATTTTAAATTTTTTATCTAAACAAAAGCTTAAAAATAAATTATTGTATTAAAAAATATTTAAAAAAAGCACACCCCTTCTCCTTCCGCTCATCCTCCTACCCCTCCCTTCCCTCTCCTTCTCTCGTCCTCTCCCTCCCTCTCTCGATAGATTTGGACCTTGAAACAATGGTTTTCTTAGCTTCATTACCGAGAATAGAACAGAGCATAGAAGAGATAAACAATAATTAATTTCTCCCATGAAAATATGGATCTTGTACAGAGCATCATTACCGGTTTTCCTACATTTCCATTAAACTCGATGATGATATTGGTTCTTGTTCTTGGGATGTCGATAATTACTATTAATCTTACTGAAAACATGCATGACTGGAATGTTTAGATGCTTCCTTGTTGCTTGCTAGGTAGGGCAAAGTTTCAGTTTTTTAGTTTGTTTCTTGGGCTTAACATTAGATGGGTGGGTGATTGTGGTCGGCGAATGTGTGGTTCAACGGTGATGGTGGTTGGCAACTTGTCGATTCAATGGAGACGTGAGGGAGGGAGGTTGGGTGCCTGTGTGTGGGGTGGGGAATTGCAGAGGGAAGGGGCTGGAGGTAGGGGATGACGGGTGTGGTGGGGGATTAGATTTTTAAAAATTTTGGGCTTTTTTTTAAATATATATATATATATAAGATTTTTTTAAAAGTAAATTTTTAAAATTATCGATTATGACATATGTTGAGGAAAATTAATGTTGTTGACTATTTAAACACTTAAATAAATAATATTTATAATATTCGACATTTAGATGAATAAAAATAATTTTAAGTATTTATTAAAAAATAATATATTTTAAGCACTTATTTTTTTGTATTAATCCTTTATTTTATTCTCTCTTTCTTCCTCTCCAAACATGGCTGATCAAGAAGAAAATCTCCATTACTGGGGAAACATCTCAGAGGAAGACTACTACAAGCAGCAATCAAATGTTCAAAATCATTCTGCACTTCACCAAGAGGCCTCTCCCCCTTCACAAGATCAAGGCTTCCCCTATCCGATCACCCTCCATGTGGCATCATCTTCGGGATCCATGGGTACGGCAATGATATAAGTTGGACTTTCCAGTCCACATCCATCTTCCTTGCTCACAAAGTATTGGCTTGCTTTGCACTTTACGTTGAAGGCCATGGAGATCCCCAGGTCAAAAATGTTATGCCCCCGTGTTGACTCAGTCGTCCAAGATTGTCTCTTTTTCTTCAATCTCATCAAGGAAGATCAGAACTTTGATGGGTTACCCTGTTTTCTTTATGGAGAATCCACGGGTGGTGCCATTGCTTTGCTGGTTCATTTTGCTGATCCAAAAGGGTTCCAAGGTGCTGTTTTGGTGGCACCCATGTGTAAAATATCAGACAAGGTTAAACCCAAATGGCCAATTCCTCAAGCTCTGACCTTTATCTCCAATTTCATGCCCACTCTAGCGATTGTACCAACTGAAGATCTCTTGCACAAGTAGATCAATGTGGAAGAGAAGAGGTTATTGGGAACAGTAGTCCTTTCAGATATAGAGGGAAACCAAGATTGGGAACTGTTGTTGAGCTCTTGAGGGTGACCGAGTTACTTAATCAGAAACTCAGTGATGTGAGTATTATATGGCAGTGCTGATGTGGTTACCGATCCGGAAGTGAGTCGGGCTCTGTAAAGGGAAGCATCGAGTGAAGACAAGACGTTGAAGATCTATGAAGGGATGTGGCATTCGTTGTTGTTCGGTGAACCTGATGACAACATTGAGATTGTTCGTACTGATATATTGTCTTGGTTGAATAATAGATGTAACACAAAGATCTGAGAATAAGTTTGATTTATAAGGAGATTCAATGAACTTGGGATGCCAATTGGTCACCTGATTTTAATTGTGATGTTTTAACTAAAAATTAATACAAGAAAAAGTACAAGGATCGAAATGGCAATAATCATGGTTTGACATTAATGAGTGAAAGAATACACTGTAGGTCCTTATGGTAAATAGCATACTAAAAAATCAAAATAGACGCTATTAAAATCTCTGTATCTTTAAAGAAGAATAACCAAACGGGAGACCTATCATTTACAACTCTATACCATCTTTAGAAGAGACCTAAATCCATATACAATGTTAGAGGTGATGAGAGATTTCAGAACTATTAATGGACCGGAACAAAAAATCCCTTCTGTGACCAAGGGGATTCTGAGAATTCTCTTCTAATATTAACAGTGTGTTGAATAAGTCTTAATCCTTGACGGAAGATGAGTCACGAAATGGTGTTCTGCGGGAAGAAATGGGTGATCCGATGCAAGTGTTAACAATGCCAGAATGCAAATTAACAATGTAGCTATAGAAGTTGAAAATCAGGCCATGAACAAGTATTCCAAGTCTTCTACTGTAAGTCGGGTCTGACGCCCACCGGTTTCATCCTCACCAAATGCTGAGGCGACCAGCTTCCTCTTCTTTTGCTGTTAATTCATGAAAACAAAAATAAGAAGGTACTTGCCGCAAATAAAGTTCTATTGAAGCTAGGAACCATTTTACCATGGAAAATAAACAAACATCATTTTGTTTTAACATTAATATTCCTGGATGTATGATACACTCATTCATAACACTTCCATATGCAGATTTAAACTTATAATGAATTAGAGTTACGCAAGTTATTAGATAATAAAATAAGCATTCAGGCCAGGCGTGTAACCCCACACACAGGCTCAAATTTTCTATGTAGCGTAAGAACGGCTTTATCCATGTTTATAAAACTGAAAGTAAATTATCAGACCATTAACGCTGTCAAGTGCATCAACACTTTTCTAGGCAGCTAGCGACCATATCATCATTAAATATAGAATCGTGAATTTGATAAAGCTAGGGTATGAACCATGAAAGAGAATGGTAAACGACTTTGTGCCTGCGTAAGTGGGGGAAAGGCTTACCTGAAGGGCTAAAATACGATCCTCAACTGTATCTTTCACAGTTAACCGCAAAACACTTACTGGGCGAGTCTGCCCAATTCGATGTGCTCTATCAATTGCCTGGTCCTCAGTTGTAGGGTTCCACCACAGATCAAGCAGAAGTACATGGCAAGCTGCAACCATGTTCAGCCCAAGACTGGCAGCTTTTAAAGACATAATCACAACTGATACCTACAGCCAAAGGAATGAATTTCATAACCAAGCAGAATTGTTAAACACCAGAATATTGTAGTCTCTATGGTAGAACACAAAATAACAGGGGTAAAGAAAATAAAGTCATTGAGACCTCTGGTAGGGTGTTGAAATCTTTCACTGCTTTATCTCTAGCAGCAACTGACATAGTTCCATCAAGTCTTCTGTACTGGATGGAAGAACTTTTAAGACAGGCTTCAAATAAATCCAACATCCTTGTCCACTGGGAAAACACTATAGCTTTCTCCCCAGGAACCTTACAGGAACTATTCAACTTTCACCCATAACCAGATCCTTTTCATCAGGAGCGCCATTTATGAATCCCCAGAATGGAGATCAGAGGAACCTTCTGGACAGCCACTAGTCCTTGATCTATGATCTTGAGGCTTAGCTAGTGATTTAAGGACCTGAAGGGCAGCCTTAATTTTGGAAGAACCATACAAATTATCCTCAGAACAAGGTCCAAATACCTCAACAACTTTTGAACCAGGACAATCACGAGACTTGTCCTGACCAGGCTGCTCAGAAAGAGAACTGCTTAAGCAGTTACTTGTAAACACAGAAGACGCATTTAGTTGAACCTTGCAATTTTTGGTGGGACATTGCTTGTCATCACTAGTAAGATGTTCAGAGATGCATTGGTTGCAGAAAACATGACCACAGATAGTTACAACAGCATCTTCCGGAGGATCCTACGAAACATAAGCACCAATGACAGAGCAGAAGAATAAGACTTTAAAAGTTCAAGGATAATTGAACGAGTAAAAAAAAGAGAAAACTATGCTAAAAGGAAGAAAGAAGAGTGAAAAAAAAAGGATAATAAACCACGCAAGGTAAAACAAGCCTCCGTAAAAACACAGTATGATCTTTTATGCATACCACAGCTGAACCAGAGAGAGAGAGAGAGAGAGAGAGAGAGAGAGAGAGAGGAGAGAGAGAGAGAGAGAGAGAGGGAGAGAGGAGAGAGAGAGGGGAGAGAGAGAGGAGAGAGAGAGGGAGAGGAGAGAGGGGAGGGGGAGGGGAGGGGGAGGGGGAGGGGGGGGGGGGGGGGGGAGGGAGAGGGAGAGAGAGGGAGAGGAGAGGGAGAGAGAGAGAGAGAGAGAGAGATCTTAAAAATTGAACCATCTAAATATACCCAAACGAGTATTACATCTAAATCCTAATTGAATGAATACTTATTTGATCACTCAAATCTTTTAAAAAAAAATATTAACAGACAGAAATGTGACTGGGCAATTATAAATCAATGGAATAGTGTAGAAGGAGAAGCAGTTCTTAAAGTGGATGAAAACAAACTAAAATAATCACATACATTGCAGATGACACAGAGTTCCAAAGATGATAGACAACTCAGAAGAAATGTTCGCTTCTCCTGGGGAAGCTTCGTTGCAGCCTCAATAGACAATTTCCATGAAGAGTTTGAATCAAAACCTCTGACCAGAAGAGGATGATCACAGGCTTGACGAAGACGCAAAAGCATCAACAAGATATTCACGTAGTTCTGTTTGACAGTTCCTGCAGCTGCATACTCCTGATATAGATTTCGATATTAGCAAAGTAAAAGAGAATATAATAGAATAATGATAAAGCCACATTAAATATTTGCGGCATTAGGTATATATTGCCAAACTACAATAAACATGAAATATCTACGAGTATCGAAAATTTAGTTGAACTAAGAAAAAACATACATTAAACTGAGCACGTGATTCAGTCTCCAGTCTAGTATAGAAGTCACGCTCCTCCTTTGTGAATTCCACCTTTTTCAGTTCTATCACCTTTGGTGGCAAGTTAATAATAGGTTTCCCATCAAGAAGAGTACCTGTAAAAGTTGGCAAAAAATTATAATAAGTGATTGCATTTAGTTGCGTGCAAATAAAACTCTCAAGGAAACACTACAACCAACCATATAAATTGGATACCGAACATCACAGTAGAACCAGATTTCACCACAAGAGCAACTAAAACTAAAGAAAAATAGTTAGTACCTTTCGTGCGGCGTAACATTATTGTATGCAAGATAGCTTGCAATTTTGGATAGCCTTTCGCTGGATTTCTAGTAATTGGGATCTTTATGGAAGAACAGAATGATTTGTAACCAGCATATGGGTCATATCTCAGAAATCTGAAATAGCTATACAGGTCGTCAATGGCATTTTGAATTGGAGTCCCGGACAAGCACCATCTACGTTTAGCACGAAGGCCCCAACAGGCCCTAGCAACTTGAGTTTTATGGTTTTTAATGCTTTGGGCCTCATCCAGAACAATTCTAAACCATCCAACTCTTGCGAGAGGTCGATAAGCAGAATCAAGAAGCAAATCATCCACCCCCTTCTTGTGTTTCACTCCTTTTTTATTAGAACTAAGTGGGTATTTCCTTCTTCTGCTTGGTGGAAAATCCAGAGATGAAGCCCTGTCACCTTCCAACTTCCCTTTCTCATCATCATCTCCGTGAACAGGAGGTGACTTTGGGAACTCCATGCTAACTATTGAATATGTAGTAAGGACAACATCATATTTTGCCAACTCAAAAGGATCCTTTGTCCTGTTGGTTCCATGGTACACTAGAAAAGAGAGATTAGCTTTGCTTGTCACCTTATTCTGCAACTCATCTGCCCACTGCCGCAGTACACTTGTGGGACATACAATAAGAGTTCCGGCAGCTGGCCTTCCCTTTGCTTTCCCTGGTAGATTAGAGCTTTTATTTGAAGCACCATTTGACATAACTTGATTGTTATCAGAATTTTGCTTCACCTCTTCATCGTCATCCAAATTTAGTGTTTCCAGCTCAACCTTTCTCATATCTTGAGAAGATGCTTTAGAAGATGGAGAAGGCCTCTCATTAAGAATAAGTGCAATTGTTGACACAGTTTTTCCTAATCCCTGCAATAAATAATATATATTAAAACATGGTTCACTAGTTGTTTAACTAGTGCATGACAACTTCAGAATTTGGAACTGACCTGGTCATCTGCAAGAATTCCTCCCGAACAGTGTAAGCCAGCTTTCTCCTTCTGGGTCATCCATGACAAAGCAATTCTCTGTCCAAAGATTATGTTAGAAAGGAATTGGAACATAATCATAACACTCACAGTTAAACATGCAAGAGAAAATAGGCACCCAGTATGGAAGCATACAGAAATCATAAAAGCAACATGTAAAGAACAATTTTCAAAACAGTCAAACCATAATTAATAACACAATATCTTAAATTAAGCAAATAAAACTACAACGAAGTAAAGCAAACTGTCTTCTCTTCTTTGACTGCATCTATGAATGGCGAGGAAGTATCTAACACTAAAGAAAAGAAAGTCTCAAAAATTGAAATTCAACCTCTTAAAAGGGCGGTTAGCAAAAAAAACACATTGAACTTTTTGAATCCAGTTTTAACCCAACTCGATCAAGATAAGTACATTTTAGCCATGCTAGCTTACTAGCAGAAGCCTCACCCTTTCTTGGCATTCAATCCAAAAAAAACACATTTTAATGTCCATTAAAATAAAGTCTTTAACCACATACATTTTCACCTTATGCAAATACCAATTCTCAATCTATGAAGTTCAAAACTTCACAGAAGCTCAACATTCAGAGAGTAAATATGGAGAAAATATATGATACGGAACAATTCAAACCTGATGTCGTAGAAGAGGTACAGCCAAAACACCTTCTGGAGGACTAGCTTCAGATTTTGGCTGAGAAAGGCCCTGTTAGGCTACCAGTTTTATTAATCAGGTAAACATAAAGCCAAAAACATTACACACAACATTTATTCTAACAAAAAAAAGGACACCAATTTAGCTCATAAATAAGGCAACATCAATGCATCCACACAGAAGTATCGAAGGAGCCTAAATATCTATCTTGCAAAACATTTTCATCATGAATTCTATGGTGTGAAACCAATTTGACGAGAGTTGAATTGAACTGAGAAGTTATTTGAAAGAATCTAAACTCTTGAAGTTTTTATTCAAAACTTTTCATTACACGTTGTAACAGTTAATGAAGCAGTATTTCATTCAAAAGCTCCTTTGAGCAAAGCCAAGGCCATCGTGCTATTTGAAAGAATATGAAGCAGGGAGGGTAGAGTGACAAAAACCAAACAGTGGAAAGGTCTTTAGAATTATAAGAAATTGTTTCACTCATGGTCAAGTCTCCTTAAACAGGTTTGATAATGGAAGAACAACAATTATCTTTTATCAAGCGTTCAGTTTCACTCTTCCAAAGCATAATTTTGTCTTTTGGGCAAAAACATCAGAAAAGAGTCATCAAAGTGTAGATGGCAAAATTTTGGAACTCTTTTTTGGAAGTAGGATTCGTCCAAAAAGACAAGTGAAATATTTGGGTCACTATTACATTAAACCACTCCAACGTAACTCTTTTTTTTTCCTTTTTTTTTATTGAGGGGGAGGGGGTGGGCTGGGGGTTCAAAGATAATGAACAACTAAATAACGATGTAACACAGAATAAGCAAAGGACAGTTTTTCCCCAGCAAGTCTGCAAAAGTGCACTGTAATGCTGACAAACCCTAGAAATTCAACCAAATTCTATTGATTCAGCAAGGCGTACAAGCAGAAACAATGCAATCTCAGCCAAGTAGCACTAACCTGCAATGCCTCCTGAAAAATTAACTGTTCATCATTTCCGTTGAGCCTGATAGCCCCCACTCCTGTGTTGTTAGGCTGAGTACCAGATGTATTCGGCAAACTTGAAGTCTTCTTCACAAGCACCAGGGATTGATTTGGACGGGCTGGTTGACTAATATCTTCAAGAATGCATATATCAGGGTCATCATCAACATGGGATCCACAATCTGAGGAATTGCTATGAATAGATTCAGGGCTGACTTTGGAGAAACCAAAATTCCTACAAGGAATCAACTTGTTCTCTCTTCCATCCTGAAAACAACTTAACTTCCTCTTGGTTGAAGTAATTGGGCGAGCACTGGAAAATATTGCTCTGAGGAAGCTACATTCAAATGTTCATCACCAAAGAAACTTTTACTACTAACATTTAGACTAATATCATGACGAGCATCCTTGCCAAAACCCATAAACTCTTGATTAGATATAGAAGAATAAATGTCAGGTGAATGCTTTGAGGCTTCATCAAGTGAATCAGCATCTCTTCCGGTATACTTTCTTAGGTTAGCTTCATTTAATTTTAAAGGTTCAGCAGACTGGGAGAAAATATTGCCAGATGTAATGAATTTGTTATCTTCATTCTTTACAAAAACTGCTTGACTGTTTTTTGAAATGCAAGGATGAGAATGAGGCAATGGCTGCACCGATCTTTTTTCATCAATGCGTTCATCAGTGGCAATGTAAGAAAATTTTCTATAGGCTGGTAAAACACGTCCATTCCTGTCACCTTCACAATGTAGAGGCTTGACATCAGAGAAAGCAGTCATTGAGAGCTGTGATACAGATCCATTATCAGTTCTTCCCTGAGCATACATTGTCCTACTACTTGAGCACGCACTCTCAGTGGGAAATTCCAGAACTTCACCCGCCTTATTTTCTTCAAACATAAAATTGAAGGAACCAGGCAAATGTTGCATGGACGAATCAGCAAAATATGGATCATTCCCATTCATATAATGAGGTATAACTGAAGAAGGACCACTAACATCACTAACCATATCAGAACCATGATAGATGATAGGCTTATTAGAAGTAAGATTGTGTGAACTCATAGCTGCATCGAAGGAACAAAACTCCACAGACCTAGCTACCTCAATATCAGGAGCTTCAAGGCTTGTCACTGAATTAATTAGAAAATCACCATACTGATCAAATGTTCTGTTTGTATTCTCATCAGCAGGGCTCTGCAAAGCATCTGAATATTCAGTAAACAATAATCAGCATTTCCACTAAAAATTTCACTTACAGCAATCATAAAATGCAAAACTGAAAGACAGTGTTTAGGTAAATGCAAGAAGTAGGTAACTTACTTTTGTAGTCAAACTCCTCTTTAGTATTGATGGACAATAAGCTAGTTTCATCATCCACAAGATCAAAATTCAAATTATCTCTGTGATCTAACACATGGTTGCCATCTATCTCAATAAAACTAGATGTACTACAGCTGGGCATCTCAAGCAGAGACATTTCATCCCTATCTGTGTAGGATGTCCCTTGACAAGCGGACCAATCTTTCAAACTTGCAGAGGATGTTTGGACCGGTGAGGGTTCTAAATTCCCGTGATAATCAAATGAGTCGGCAGAAATTAACCCCAAGGAAGGTGAATCTTCAAATCCCAAGCAAGAGAAAATCATCACATTTTCATTATATTAAAATAAACTTACAAAAATGTTTCTGCTAAGAAATTTTACCTCTCTGAAACTGGAAGGATTCAAGACCCGAGTCCCTCTGAGACATATTTCTAGGTGATGGATCTTCTGGATTACTCTGCAATTTAACAAAGAAAAGATAACCTACCCAATAAAATAATAGAAAACAAAATTGAGCTATAACTGAGAAACAAGGGCCAACAAAAAAAAAGCCATGAAATATCAGTTTAACGATCTATAAACATCAAGACTGAAAGTAGCGCAGAGTCGATTACAATTTTAGCAACTTAAATTATATGAACTAGAATTTCAAATTCAAAAATTAAGCAAGGAAGTACACTAAAATAGTTATACATAAAATCAGTTAACATTAAGCAGCCTTTGACTCATAACTTATAACTCGATACGTGAAGAGGTAACTTGCAAGGGTTTTCAATGGAAGGGTACGTGATCCACACAACAAATTCCTTTTCAAAAATTACACACTATAAATCTTCACCCTCCATAACCCCAAAATTGACGCCGAATTTAACCGTGAAAAAAAGTAACTAACTACCTGCTGAGGATCATCAGACTTCTCCTCAAGAATACGAATCAAGCTGTCGATATCCATGCTGAGACCATCGCCAACGAAATCATAATCGAACTTACAATCAGCAAAGCTATCATTATACTTATCCTCCGTCATCAGCAACATCGAACAAAGAAACGAAAACCCTAATTAAAAACTCTTCTAAAACCCGGTCAATTCACAAAAAAAAGAAACGAATTATTGGGATCCAATCAACACCAATCGCAACGATTCAACCAAGAAATCACGGGGAAGTTTCTTGTACAGTTGGCGGTCACAAATTAGATGCGACTTTTTGTAAAGAAAAAGTAAAAAAAACACACACACAATTGACAAGAGAATCGTGAAGAACGCGGTGGCTGGCTTTTTCTTTGGATTTAAATGAAAGGATTGGTTTATTGTAGAAAGACTTCCCGAATTTCCTTTTCCTTAATGTACTTATTATTATATTAATTAATTTATTGTTGTTTTTTTCTTTCTGAATTCTAATTGGTCTCTTCCGTTGAGAGCATAGGACGGCGGCGGAGAAGACAATAAAAAAGGGGGATTGGTTTCAGTGTCCGCTACGGCCTCGTCTTAGGGTGTTTTATTATGGCGAAATTGCGCAAGTCGGTAGAAGTGAAACGCGCGAAAAACGCGCATGATTGGGTTATTTGGCGCGTGATCCTTTTACAAGGACGACTAAGCATGCCAGATTCCGGAAGAAAGTGTATATTTTATTTTCATAATTTTTTTTTGGATAAGCAGATTTTCATTATCCAAGGAAAATTACATCAGGAACATCTCAAATGAGGTATAAACCCTACTTACAACAAAATATTCAATCAATACCCCAATAATTACATAATTTTACATTGTCATAGTGAGTTCTATTGAAATTTCTATCACTAAGTTTGATACCAACAAGATCCTTAATGGTCGTGAGGACTTGATCAGGTGTTCTTGATTTACGTCTGAAAATTCGTCTATTCCTTTCATCACAGATCGAGTAAATGTAAGCTGTCCAAGAAAGTTTCTGAATGATGTTGAGAAGAGATTTACCTTTCCAATGATGAGAAGCCCAACAAATCCTTGAATCCCAAGTGTTGTGCGTGATGTGAATATTATTGAGACGCATGATAGAGTTCCATAGTGAAGTAGCAAAAGGGCAATCAACGAATAAGTGATTACGCGTTTCTGTCGAATCGAGACAAAGGATACAAGAATCATCAGAAGCAATACCTATTCTAGAGAGTCTGTCCCTAGTAGGAAGACGATCCAAAATAGCCATCCATGTAATAATACTCAATTTTGGAATGTGAAGAGGGAACCATATAACTTTGTGCCATGGAACCTTTGCTTTGTGTTCTCTTATTTCCTCCCATAAGTCTCTGGTCTTTGAAATAAACATTGCTAAGGATAGGAAGGACTTCGCTTCTAAGTTTAATAAGTTTCCTGAAACACCAGCTATAAGAAGAGCTATCATTGACATCAGTGAAGTTAAAACTTTTAAGAGCTATCATTGGTTAAGGTTTCAGCAATTAGATTTGGATAATGATCTTCTTTACTACTAAAAATTCTTTTACAAAAAGAGGTTGAATGTTGAACCGAATTAAATTTTGTTTAGAAATTAACCTTTTTTACGTTTTTGATATCAATTTAACAAGTGTTTATACAAAAATTTGTTCGAGACCGGGTTTTGTATAATTCTATTACAAGACGATCCTATCAATTCAGTTTGTTTCATATATAAATGTTATGATCCGAATCCCTAACATTGTTTAAAAAATTCAGTATCTCATCTCATTAGTTCGATTAATTATTGGTGGAATTTTGATTTAAAGTGGTGTATTTTTTGTTTATTAAATTTTGATTTTAACTTTAATTATATTATTGAGGCGTTAAGTTTAAGCGATAGGATAATGTTGATATATATTTCTTATAATGTGATGATGTAGATAAAATTGTTTTATTTAAGCGTGGATATTGATGCCCAAAAGATGTCGCTTTAGACATTAGATTTTAGAAATTTATTAATTTTATCATTAAACTTTAAAACTTACTCAATCTTTGCACTAAAACCTTTCTTGTGGTCGTTGGTGGTTAGTCACCCGTCATCACTCGCAATAGGATCATTATTAAAATATTCACATTTCTCTCTTATTTTTTCTCATATGATTGATTTTATAAAAAAATACTAAAAGTTAATGAAAATCTATTTAAAGGTTTGACGTGTTAATATTTTGGTCTCCTCTGATGGTCATTTGATGAAGCTAGTTTTAAGGTATGTTATTCTTATTCTCGAAATAATATTTCTCATTAATTTTCAAACAAACACACCAAACCTTTAAATATGAGAAAGGCCTCAAGTCCTTAAAATAGTAATTTTTTGTTTAATTTTATCTATTTTGAGTGTGTTTCATAAAAAAATCAAATCATAAGAGAATAAAATGGAATGAAATGCAAATATTTTTATATTTTTTCATAAAAGTCGACCGATGAGGGTCGATGATTCACTATCAGTGGCGATCGAAAAATACAATATTAAAAAGTAAATTATTTAAAAATTTAATGACAAAATCGATACAGTCATAAAGTTTTAGTGCCTAAAATAAAGTCATGTTAGACATCAATAACTTCATCAAAACGTTTGTCAATATCATCGCATCTTTTGAAATTTAATGACCTTGTGATATAATCGAAGGCAAACTCAAAATTATTGTCATAATTAAAGTAATTAAAGATGTAATAATATAAACTATACATTATCTAAATTAGTATCTCGTATAATTTACCTTTATTTTAAATATTTTTTATCAACAACCAATAAAGCAAATTGCTATAACTATTTATTTATAAAATAGAGTGAAATTAATATAATTATGTTTCTATAACTCGCGATTTATTTTATATTTTTTATTATCGTAAAAAATTAAAAAAATCATTAAAGGATTCGTAAAGGGAGAGCAAAGATAATCTAAACTTTTAAATATGAAATTTAATAAAATATAGAAAAAAATGAATGCAACATATTAGAGACACGGTAGTAATAAATGAGATTATAATGTTAATAATAAGATCGGATGAAATCCAATTGCAATTAATTACCTTAGAAGAAGCCGACAATAGGGAAATTTCTTAGAGTTTACGTACCAAAACCTACGATCACATTCTTGCCTAGTCAAGTTCTGTCATCTACAAGTAATCCTTAATTTGTGTATTTTTATTTAATTAATTTTAATCATATATTAATTAAGATATACCAAATAAATTTATAACATAAACAATACATTGACATATAATTAAGTTTAACTTACTATCAAGGTCAGTATTTTGAATTTGGGTAAACTACGCGTTTAATATTTAAACTATCAGTTTTGATTTTTTTTTATATTTAAACATTCATTTTTTTCAAAATCATACATAACATTTAGTTACAAAACGATTCTCTAATTATAGAACATTGCTTTGTTACTCATTCGACTATTAAAAGAAACAAAATGTTCATTCGACTATTCATATGTTCCAAGCTCAAACAAAGATTCAATCCATAAAATACAACTCAAACAGTTCTAGGATCAAATTTTATTATATCTCAATCAAAAGATTAATGTTCAACATAGAATGATGCCATTTTATTAACAGAAAATGATGACTTTAGAACATATGAATAGTCGGGTAATCATTTTATAATTTTTAATAGTCGAGAGATTTAACAAAATAATATCCTATAATTAAATGATTATTTTATAACTCTTAATAGTTTAGGGTTCAATAAAATGATTCTCTATAATCGGGGACCATTTGTATACTTTAAACAAAAAAATTAATAATGCAAGTCCAAATAAATGAAAAAAAAAAATTGGTAAGTTGCTTGGGTAATTTCCCCAGGTTTTGCTTTGGCGGTGAAAACAAAACAGAACCGTTCGCCATTGTTGACCTTTCCTAATATTTTATTTTTTTCTAAGGACGACGCAAGGAAAAGTTAGAGAAGTTGCAATATTTTAAATCTTCAATGCAAATATTTTTATATATTTTCTGTACAATTAACATGGTATTCTGTTAAAATAATCCCTAAAACCGTGAACCATATAATAAATAAAGAAAACGTGAGCTATTTTATTTATGAACTTAAAATTTTAAATTTGATGAATTTCGATTAGATTTAAAATAGTCGAACATAAAAAAAACAAAATTTGAATCGGATCAAGTCGAGTTGTATAAAAGATGATATCACGCTGGTCGATTTTATATTTAGAGTGAAAATTTTGGTTTATCCAATCTGAAAAATAGTATAATTTTCCTCTATATATTTAGAGATAATTTATTAAATTACTCATCTCTTTATAATTTTTTTAATTAAGTTCCTATTTTATCAAATAAAAATAAGTTTTTTTTTATTTTTATATTGAATTTAGTTAGGTATGAAATTTTATTTTACTGTAAAATTGGAGTCAAATTTAAGAATAGATGTGATCTCCTTAATCTCATATTAGGTTGGGTCTAGATGAAGAAATATGCTTCTTGGGCCGAGTCACTTGAAAATCCGACCCTTGATGATCTTAATTACACTAAAAGTTTAAATTATTTATTATCCTTCCATCCTAAAATGGAATGTAATACGTACGATTAAATACACTCAAATTCATAAAGTTCAAAATCGAATAGAAGCAATATGTCAGGAAAGAATCCCGAAAATATTGGAAACCCTTCCGCCATCTCCGCAGTTGACCCAACTAGCTGGCTGCCGGATAAACTGGTTTAGGATGTGTCGACCGCGAGTCTAGAAAGGTCGGGACATGGGATTCCGGTTGTTGATTTACCGGTGGGAAAAAACCCAGGAATGATGCTAGCGCGTTTCGTGTCTCGGATCAGGTCGAGAATGGAATGGAGATAGATGGGCAGGAAGAAGTGTCGCAAACAAAGGAAAATCACGAGTCGAGGGATGTAGTAAAGAATGTTGAAAGCGTTGTTAAGTCATCCTTTAGGGATATGGTGGCTGGGAGCACAGAAAATCGACAAAAAGATATCTTCATTGCCGATTTGGATGTTGATTTATGTGAGGGAGATGTTAAAATTGTAATGGAATGAACCATACCGAGTATATGTTTTTCGGAGAGGGTTCACGATTCAATTGATGAAAAACTCTCCAAGTCGGTCATAGTACGCTTGTTGGAGAAGAAGATTGGTTATAAAGCGTTATTGAATCGTATCCAAATTCTATGGAGACCCACGGGGAGATACAGTTAGTGGATCCGGATAACGAGTACTTCATCGTTCGATTTGCTTTAGAAAATGACTGTCTCAATGTGTTGTCTAGAGGTCACTGGATGGTGTATAGTAGCTATCTCACTGTTCAACCATGGTCGAGGAACTTTGATACGTCTGACGATCATCTAAACTCGATTTTGGTATGGGTTAGATTACCAGGATTGCCCTACAGGTATTACACGAAGAGTCTATTTAGGGTTATTGCAGTTGCTTTGGGGAAGATTGTGAAAATAGACTACAATACACGGTGTTGGGCTCGATGAAGTTTGTTTGATCAATCGAAATGTATCAAGACGGGGTGAATTGATTTTTTGAAATTTAGGGAGTAAGGAATATAAATATAGAAAAATTTGTACAATGATTTATAGTGGTTCAACTCTCTCAATGAAATCTACATCCACTACCTAAACTCCTCATTAAGATTTTTCAACAAATCTATTAATTTATTATTTCTTTTTCAAGGACAAATAAATAACCTTTACAACTCCTAATTTTTTACTTGACTAAACTAAAACCCCTCTACAAAGGTGAATAATTTGTGTAAACAAAAAGACCTCTAAAAATTGATATTTACAAAGATTTAGCTTACAAAAATAAAATTTAAGAATATACAATTAAAATCAAAACACATATAATTAATAATGATTAACATATCACATAAAATAAATGTACGAGTAATCAAATATATTTGTTAAAGGTGTAAATAATCATATTTATTTTATCAAGAATAAAGCCGTCAGATTCAATGCAACATTACTTTGGAATCTAACGTTCTTTTAACTTCTTCCATCAAATCCTGCTTTAGCTTAGCAATGACCTGCGACAAGGCCTCGTTGTTTTAAATGTAAATTATGTATATAGTATTTAAATTATTTCTTTTATTTTAAATTTTCATTTTAGTGTTTACATCATACTTACTATTTAGTTTTTATTTTATTTTAGTATTCTATCGTTAAAAATTTAACATGTTTAATATTTTAAATTATCAATTTTGACCTGTTTTAATACTTAAATTTTTAATTTTCTCCTAAAAAATAACGTTAAATTTTGAATAAAATACTAAAATAAAACAATTTTTAAAGCTTAAGCACTATATTAGATTAAAATTGATAATTTAAATATTAAACATGTAATTTATCATTGTTTTAGTCTAAAACACCCAGATTATTTTTAGATTTTCTCCCAACAGAAAAACTCAACCTACATGTAACGATACAGGCATACAGACCCACATGCTGCTCCTGTCTGCCTCCCTGTCTGCTCTCTCTCAAATCCCCTAACATTCACCAGTTTTAAGTACCCCAAAGAACCTTTGGTTCTGCTCTAAAAAGACCTTTCCTTTATCTCTCTCTTGAAGCGCTATGGGGTGAGAATTGAGTAAAGGGTCTAAATCTAATACTTCTTTTTTTCACTCGCTGCTGAGGAAAATGGGACAACAGGAAGAAACCTACATGAATAGTTGGCCACCGGTGGGAGCTCCATTGACTATTCAAAGACAGGACCAGTGGCGACAATTCGACAACTCCGTTAATGCAGTCTCCTTTGGTTTCGTTGCTACCGCCATTCTCATCTCTATGTTTATAGTCATGGCCATCTTCGAACGCTTTCTCAGACCCAATTCTCCTCCTCCTCATGGTCCTGGCCATGGTGGCGACCTTGAATCTCAACTCGGTTTCAATGGAAAACTCAGGAACTCATCACCACAAGTCAGTCAACAAAGCCCCTTTCTTCATATGGGATTTCTTCAATTTTGTTCAAAGTTTGAATTAGATTGTTTGAGTTCGTTTTCCATGGTTAAAGCATCTCGGTAGCTTAAAGTTCTCATCTTTCAATTGCAAATTTGCATCTTTTGTTCAAAAGTTTGGTCTTTAGTTGATTGTGTTCTTATTTTCAGCTCTTAATGTGCTCTATTTTAGTTTCATTATGATAACTGAGCCATTGGAATGTGGATATGCAGTTTAAGTTGGGTAAATTAAGGGCATTTAAGATGAACTATCTGGATTTATATTGAACTTTTTCCAATGGCATCATAGCTGTGGACTTGCATCATGAGAAACATATAGTCTACGCTACTGCATTCCATGATGCAGACGTTAGACCCACCGGCCTACTGTTTCGAACCCCGTTTTTCAATTTTAAGATCCGATTCTGTGGGATTGGATCATATAGAGGGAGTTCTGATGTAGCTGACTATGGCATGTTAGAATGTCCATGGAATCCTGTTGGTGTTGGATCTAATTCGATTCACACCATATGCCTGATTTTCTGTGTCCGCACCCTCGAATCTTCAGACATGATGTCCCGGGTAGTGTTTTTGAGTGGCAACTTTTGGGGGACATTGAAATTCCATGGTTGAGGTTTGGGGGTTATAGTTTAGTTGCATTTGAGGGCCAAATATGTTACGAGGGCCACCTCTATATCGACAAAAAAGATGGATTCTAGTTGTTGTAAACGACTTATCCGCCTAACAGCAATATTTGGAAAAAGCATTTGATGCTACAGCAACTGATAATGCCCTTCTATGTTCTTGTAGTCTTATGTTTGATGTTGTCTAATTCAAATGACTAGAAGTTTGTAGTTCTATTGTTTGAGGTAATTAATACATCAAATCTGCATCATTAGTTGTTTAGGGTTCCGTCCGCTTGTTGTCTGATCTTCTATTTGTTTGTTTTTCAAAACCGAGAGGCGATTTTGTTAGGTTGCCAGTTTGCGGATGTAAGGAAGTAAGGTCCATGCATCTTTTTATCAAGGACTCTTGGAAGCTGTCTAATGGATGGATTCGTTTTAGTGGGCTTAATGAAAAGCATGCACTTGGTGTTTTTATAGCTACCATCGCTCTTATTTAATCCCGGAAAATTTTGATCTTCAATTCCGGATTTAACCATTTTTCAGACTTTAGAAACTCGGCAAGTTTTTAAGTACACATATTACATGGTGCATCCTTGACATTTGTTCGTATTGTTTCCAAAGGAGTAGCAGTTACTGCATTACTGTTTCTCTTATGAATGATTTTTCAGTAGAAACATTAAAGAGCATTTCATTTGGCTTCTGCTAATTTGACACAATATTCTGGACTGGAAGGTCATTTGAAGACAGATTTATTTTATGCAGATGACGGTATACACCAGCGGAGTTTCCGTATTAATGCCCGGGGACGAGATTCCAACCTACATTGCACACCCAGCTCCAGTCCCCTGCCCCCCGAATCACCCGTCATTGCCTCAGCATTAACACTACACATCCGGCGATTGTGATTCAATCTCCTCCGGAGACATTCATGTAAGTCCAGTAGGTGAAAACTAAATTTACATTGCGTCGCCCATGCTACCCGAAACAAGATCATCATTACTCTCCAGCAGGAGGTTTTATAAGAACAAAACAAGACTACAAAATCAAGATTAGAGCTGCACTTTTTCTCGAGTCTCGACCGACATATTTTCTGTATATTGAAATAGATTTTGGTGGACTTTCGGCTTCGGCAGTACTTAAATCGCCTTTGCTTTCTGTTTCACTGATCCGTAGTGAGTTAGGACTTTGAAGATAATTGAAATGCCATCAAATGGATCATTTCAAATGTAAATATATGAGGCATATTACGTATACTTGTTTGAGAGTATGCGAAGCAGTTTCATGGCAAATTGTTGCAGATGGATTGAAATCGATGTCGGATAATATACATTTTGGTGCATGAATTTCGCTTTAAAGTTCAGTTTCGTACCTTAGTTTTCTTTTTAAAACTTTAAGATTCAATTTGGATCTAAAGTTTTTCTGGTCCAATTACGTACCTAAATTTGATTTTTTTTTATTTAAATTGACATCTATTTTTTTTTTTTGCATTTATAACAAATGATTTATTTGAACTAGTTTAACAAATTAAGCCAAATTCAATTACATAATTTGAACCAAAAACCACTATTAGATTCTAAATTCGTCTGAGAAAAATTTAGGTATCCAAATTGAACTTGAGATTATCTTTAGGTACTAAGTGGATTTAAAAAAGATTAAGTATCAACTTTAACCTTAAGCAAAATTCAAACATCAAATGTATTTTTAGCTAATATTTAAAGGTGAATACGGATAACTCATCAAGTGATCTTAGTGGTAAAAGAAAAGATTGTTTACCCTAGAGATTCAGAGTTCAAACAGTTATACTTACTGTGTATATGTTGTTAATGGTTAAAAAAGATTTTAAATAAATATTATCTTATAACCCCTATATACTATTGAAAAAAAGGTAATTGTGAAATGAGTTGATCGTCTCGAGCATGGCTTTGGCATTTAGTGATGTTGCATCCACTTTGAATCCATCTTAAATTGCATGGTAAAAATTTGTCTCTGAGTAGACTCGATCCAAAGCGAATATTCTTTTTCATTTTTTATTCGACAAGATAGAAAAATAATTAAAAAAATAAAGAGAAATACTATAGTAACTATCATTAAATATAAAAAACAGTAACATTATAATAATTATTCGGTTTGGGTTAGAAACTTTTTATTCAATTCGGTTATTAATTTTTAAAGAAAATCATTTTGATTAACAACTAAAAAAATAGATTTAATCAATCGAATAAACCTTTAGAGCACCCTTACCAAAACCACAAAAAACTCAAATTGAAGGCATTTATGTATGCGAGTGTGGTGCCTAATGTTTCATTCGTTATTCAAAATAGGTCAAGCCGTGACGGACCGTCAAATTTGGTCGTTAACTCGTTTTTTAAATATTATTATATTTATAAAAAAAACATAATTTCTCTTAAATTATAAATAGCCCACAAATCCCTAAAACATCCTAACCTTAACCCGCCACCACCCTTTTCAGCCTCAACAACCGCCACCGACGTAGCCTCTGCCATCCTCCTAGTCATACGCTGCCGTAGTTGTCGTCGATTAGCCGTTTGAATTACGTGGGATCGCGATTTTCAAGCTAGGCTTCACAGAATATAAAACATTGATTCGTCATCGATCAATCACGATTTCATAGATGTTTTGGCTGCGAGGGGAGGGAAGGTCGGGTGGAGCTTCGTCGACAGCAAAAAGGCGGCGGTCGGTGTAGGTTTAGGGGTTGAAATGAATGTTTTCAAAGTTTTGGGTTTATTTCAAAATTTGTGTTTTTTTAAATATTTATAATTTTAATTTTTAATATTAAAAAATATGCCACAAGGCATTTTTAATGGGTTAACGACCAAACTTAACAGCCCGTCACTCCTTGACCCATTTTGAGTAATGGAATGAAACGTTAGGCACTAAACTGGAAAAACAGGCATAAGTTGAACATCTTTTGTATATTTAAGCTCAACCAATATGTTATGATAACAATAACACTATTACACTCGAAAATATTACCGTTGTTTCTAATATGAATATTGTAACACTCCAAATTATGGGCTAGCAGTTTCGGGTCTACCCGAGAGGTAAGTGGATTCTATAGAAATTATAATTCAAATCGTTGGGGCTTAATTAGGTTTAACTTGGGCCCAATTTTCCATAAAGAGAAGATTTTTCATAATAGGAAGATGATGAGGGACCAGTAATATAATTATCCCATTTTTAGGATCAGAGCTTTTATATTCTCTCATTTTATTTTCTTCATCTTATTTTCCATTTTCTTCTTCTTCCTTCTAAAGCTACTTAAGCCAAGGTGAGTCTATGGAACCATTTATTACTTCTTTCAAGTTTAATTTTCGTTCTTAATCCCTCAAGCAACATGGATTTAATCATTCAAGCAATGGGTTCTTTGTGTGCAAGAGAAAGTTAAGGTTTTATCATCCAAGCCATGGTGGGGGATGATTTCTAGCTAAAAGAGCTCAATTTCGTGATTCAATCAGTAAGATAATGTATTTCTAGGCAATATTATATTAAAAACCCCCCCATTAATTATTTTTTTGAACAATAACCCCTTAGCTGATTTGTTAGAGAAATAACCTCTAAATTGTACATGTATGACTACCTCGCGTCCTATCCAGCGCGAGAATGCATCTCGCGTTTTATAGGATGCGAGGTACTGTGTACTTTTCAGATTACCCAATTTAATATGATTATTTAGTACCTCGTGTTTCCCAGAACGCGAGGTACCCGAGATATTGGAAAACTATCGTTCATAGAAGTTTTGAGATTTAAAATTTAAAAATATTTCTCGTACCTCGCACTTTGTATAATGCAAGGTACATCTTTCCCCTTGCTTCAGGGGGAGTGCGAGGACCATTATAAATAGGCCCCCCATCCACCTGAATTCCTCACACCTTCATTAAAAAAAACTCTATCTCTCATATATTCTCTCTATCATATTATTATGGTGGGACTACTTAGGGCTGATCTTCCCCATGTATGCACCTACTGGAGGGAAAATCTGACGGTAATTTTTGTTTATTTATTCATTTTAGGTTTATTTATTTATTTATTTTGAATTTATTTTTTGTATTTATTTATTTATTTGGATTTATTTATTTATTTAGTTATTTCAAATTTATTTATTTTTTTATTTAGTTATTTTGAATTTATTTGTTTGTTTATTTTTTGCTTCGAAATTATTTATTTATTTTATTTATTTGAAGGGATATGAACATTCCTTGATGAGTTTTATCAACTGTTTCTCGTCCCTTAATGATGATATTATTCCATACTTGCACGAAGCCGATTTTGGTTACATTGGGACTGCAACTGGTGGTACGAAGTTGTACCGTCCATTAAAAACGTGTTGATTGAACTGTGGAGATCGGAGGCGCACACATTTCATTTTTCTTGTGGGGAAGCGAATATTACCCATGAAGATGTTTCTACCATCTTGGGCTGCCTATTGATAAAAATCCTATTACCGGTATGGCTCGTGAGGACTGGGAAATTTTGTGTGAGGAACTGGTCAGAGTTACTCCGATAAAGGACGAGTTGGATGGAGGGAAAATCTATATTAAATTTTTGGACGATAATCTTAATCAGCTCCCCGCCGATGCTGCTCTATAAATTAAACAAGTAAATTTTTAAATCTATGTTTATTTATTGTAATTTATGTATTTATAATGTTTAAATTTTGTTTTAGTTTATGTTATTGTAATTTTTTGACGATAATTTTTTAATGTATTCGCACCATTTTTATTTTACACCAATTTGCTCGTGTTAATATTTTGCAAGTTATTGGGGGTCTTGATTCCTAATAAATCTCGAAACAAAGTGTATCTAACGTGGTTGTATCATCTACATGCAAATGTTGGGGATTGACAGTATTGACATTTTTGTTTCGGGAGCTATGTAAAGGTGTTAATCCGAACAAATAAGCACTTAGAGGTTGTTTAATGTTGTTACAATCGTGGGCTTGGTTTTGAATGCCCTTTTAGCGTCGATTCCCTTACAACCGACCCCATTACAATTTCCACTATTTCGGAGGTAATTACAAATAACCTACGTTTATATATTTATTACTACATATTTTTTTTAGTTTTACCAATAATTATATTTTATTATATGAATGCTAGGTGGACCGTCGCACTTAGTGACTCTCACATACCAGAAAGTCTGCGTGATTTTAGATTGTCAGTCAATAAGATGACAAACGATGTAATTGATTTTATAATTTAATTTGTAAATTAAATATCAATTTTTTATTCGAGTTTTTCTAACACAGTTTAAAAAATATTTGTGTAGTTTGTTTGGACGTCGTACATTGACGACGCTATTACAACATGTACTCCGGATGAAATATGTGACAGTTCGCACGTTTGGATGTCGGTGGTCTTGTTGATAGTATATGAGATCGTCGAGTGGCATCCTACTGATCACGTGTTGCAGCAATTTGACCGTGTCCAAACGATTTCGCCACCACCAACAATCTTGGATAATGCCTTACATTACCTAACTTGAAAAGTGAAGATGAATGTTAATTGAGAGGTGTATCATGTGGATTGGATGATGCAGGGGATGGCGAGACTCGTTAGGCAGTCCGTTTATGAACTCATCTTGGCCTATGGTGTTTTAGATGATTATATGTCGTGGTACGAGTAAAATGGGATGCCACATATACTGACAGAGGAGGAGTAAGCGCGAGAAATTTATAGCCACCCCCAAACCATCCACCCATGCAATGTCCCTCGACACAATGTGGTGCAAGTCAGAGTAGACAAAAACACACTCAACTCTCATCATCGGGAACGACACAAGAGCCACCTAAAGAGCATCAGGCGCCGTTGACGACACCTACATTCACCCACTCGACTCAGACGACATTTCAGCATATGGTTACTCCGTCATCGTTTCAACATATGGCACCACCGACGAAAGGTTTTTTCGCCGATGCATTTCATTCCTATCCAGTGGTGGTTGTCCATTCTCATTTTATCTAAAGCTTAGGGGTCAAATTAGAAATTTACCATTTCCATAACATGTCACATCATCAATCTAACATACGTGGCTGAAATGTAACATTTCAAACAACAATGGCCAAAATAAGATATACAAAAAAATGACCTCAGGTGTAGTTTACCCAATTTTGAATTACAAATAAATTGTCTTCCTCGCAACGTTCGGTCCCTTACATTTGAAAATTTAATTTTACTAAACTTAAATCAACGTTCAAATTTTAATTTAAATTAAAAACTTTTACACTTCGAATATGGCTTGTAGTTTTAGTTACCTTTTGACATGCCGTCTCATAAATGTAGTAGCTA